GAAATCATGTATTAAGTGATGATCTTCTATGTAAAAATATGCCTCTTTTCAACAACCAGATGCATACATAATATTAAAGATTCATCTTTGCCTCAAACTCTAAACCTCTCTTTATGATTGTTATTTCTAGTGATCTGATGAGTTATTATAAGGTGAGCATCCTTATAACAATCACCTAGATCAAGAAATCAAAATTTGACAGATACCCAGAAACACCTTCCACATACTCCATCTTATCTCAACCTCCTTTCTCTTCAAGGTAGCTAATGAGTTTCCCGGTATTAACCTCCTTGTTCTTCTTTACAGTATTATTACATAAGTGTGCACCACTCCCAGGTACTGTAGTTTAGTCTTGCCTAATTTTATTAACTTGTCTTATCTTTTAAGTGTCTTAAAATTTCTCAAAATCTCTTTGATTTTCTTTATAATTTCACAACTTAAATATGCAGGGATTTGATCTATGGAGAGAGTACCTGAGTTTGGATTTGTTCGAGCACATGTTCCTGATGAGGTTAAATGTGTTCCCATGTCTTGATTTCCTCAACACTGGCAGAGAAATCCAGAGGATTCACCAAGTTCCATTCCTTTGGCAAGAATATATTCGGCTGTGGTGTTCTTTCAGGGAAAGCCACATCATACCTGATTTTCCTCTCTTTGTGATATGAGCAGCCACAGATGCTCCACACCTTGACCCACTAACTCATAATGTTGCCAAATGATAGTACTCTAATTCAGTTATTTATTTTTCACTTATGAGTTGGGAATGCTTTTATAAAGAGGTTATTCTTCCTGTCTACTCTTTGCTCCCAAGGACTGAGTTCTAAGCCATTATGGTGTTGGGCTTCTTTGCTACACCCCTGAGCTATTTGTTCCATCTAAATGGAGTTTTAAAAGAGGGCAGGGAATTATAGGTTGGTAGAAAGTTATTCAAAGCAAAACTGTTCAATTCTTCCTCTGCCTCCACATTAAATAAGAGCCTCACAATTTGAAGGAAAAAAAAATGCACAAGTGAACACATGGAAGTAAAGATGGATAAAGCAGGTGGACACATATCTTTATTTTTTTTTAATGTGGTGCTGAGGATCGAACCCAGGGCATCGAGCATGTTAGGCAAGCACCCTACCTCTGAGGAAGAGCATGAGAAGAAGATTATCACTAAAAAGGGAAGAGAGGTGAGACAGAGAGAGAGAGGGAGAAGGGAATTGCACGGAAGATGGAAGGAGACCCTCATAGTTATACAGAATACATGTATGATGATGTGAGGAAAAAGAAAAAAAAAGAAGTGTGTCACATTAGATTGGGTAGAGAGAAATGATGGGATGGGGGAAGGGGGGAATGGAAGGACAACAGAATAAAATAGACATTATTATTGCTGTATGTATATACATGACTGCATGATCAATGTGATTCTGCAACCTGTACACTCAGAAAAATGAGAAATTATACCCCATCTGATTCAAATGTATGATATGTCAAGATCATTATACTGTCATGTGTAACTAATTAAAACAAATTTTTTTAAAAAGATGTATAAAGCATCATGGGTAATTTGAGAGGATGCCTGGGGGCACAACAGCCATACCTGACTTCACAGGGCCAAGGTAAACATGGCACAAAAAAGGGGAGAGACATGCCCAGGAGTTGGTCTTCTTACCAGGTTTCCGCACCTGCCTGGGTTACACACTACAAGGGGGGAAATGATGGAGTAAGGAGAAATGGCAGTCTGCTCCTACCCACTAAGGCAAGGGCAGGTTTGCATTTTGCCTCCTAGCAAGGCACAAAGATGGTAATGATGCTGGGCTGTGACTGGATGGGATAACACAGGCTGCTAAAAATTGTTCTTTAAGAGGAATAGGATCCAGGCCGGGGTTGTGGCTTAGTGGTAGAGTGCTTGCCTAGCATTGTGTTCAATTCTTAACACCACATGAAAATGAGTGAATAAAAGCATTGTGTCTATCTACAACAACAACGAAAAAAGAGAAGTAAGCCTATTAGTACATTGTCTCATTGGAGATGAGATTTTCAGGTTTGATTCTGTTTTTAAATGTAGGTGCTTTGGGGAATGTAAGGAAAGCCATGGATGTTCTCTACTGAAAAACACACGTAGAAATATGAAAACATTTAAATGTCTGATTTCAGAGAAGTCACATACTCCTGCAAGCCTACTCACAAATAGGTCTCTAAAATAGTCATTTTAGCCTTCTTTTGTACTGAAGTCACCTGGGCAATTTAAGAAATACTGATTACTGGATCCCATCCAGAAGATCTCCAAGGGCCACTAGAAAGTTTTATAATATTTTATGGGATGGCAAGAACCAATTGAAGGATTTTCTAAGGATTTTCATAGAACCAAGCACATATATCTTGTAGTAGTCAGCTTTTCATTGCTGTGACAAATATCTGAGGAAAACAACTTAGAGGAAGAAATATCTATTTGGGCTCATGGTTTCAGATGTCTCAGTCCCTGGTCCAACAGCTCTAAGGCAAAAACATCATGGCGAAAGAGTATGTTAGAGGAGAACTGCTCAACTAATGGCTGTCAAGAAGCAAAGAGAGTAGAAGAGGCCAGGCACAAGATATAGTCCCCAGTGACCTGCTTCCTTCAACTAGGTCCCACATCCTACAGTTCCCAATAATAACTTCAAATTATTAATCCACTAATGGGGTCAGATCCTTCATGATCCAATCCCTTCCCTAAAGCCCACCTCTGAACATTGCTGCAGGGGCATCAAGCTTTCAACACATGACTCTTTGGGGAGTCTTCATATCCAAATGGTAATATGTCATATCCAAACCACAATATATCCCATCCTGAGGCTCTTTAAAAGATAAGAAATAATATCTTCATTCTCAATTAGAAATACTGTTTTTAATAAGAAAAGGATTGAAAGACCAAGGGGGCTAGCCCAGTGCTTGGCACTCAAAGTGGGCATGTTTGAATGTTTGCTGAATTTATATGCAGAGCACATGACAAGAGTATATATGGTGAGTGAGAAAGTTGGTAAGGCAGCAAGGGCTAAGGAAACAGTGTACTTGAACATGGAGAGAAAAACACTGTAGTATGGGTGGGAAGGCAAAAATACATCCTTCACATTGCAAGCCAGTGCCCATGGGGGTCCTGAAACATGGTATATACATCATAAATAGTGTTCAAATGCATGAGCCAGAGATATCTAGTTGCCCTTCCTACAACTTCTTTTTCCTACAGGTGACAATGTTTTCAAATTTTAGATTTTGAAGTATTTCAAACATAGAGAAATGAAGTAACACATCCATTTACACCCTGACCAAATTTGACCACGCTAAATGTTCTTTTCTACTCTTTTGAGTCTAATAGTAAGTGCCATTTCATGTCAAACAACCCCCAAAACTTGAACAATAAAACATGTCTTTGAGATGACTGTCACTCCTCAAAATTATTCATCCCAAATTGAAGGTGAAGTAAAGAAATAATTCTGAAAAAGTTCCACAGATTAGGAGATGAGCAAAATGAAACAATGAGATATATATGTATGTATGTATGTATATATACATATGACTAAAACAGCAGTGTGAGTATGTCTTCTTAAAGACTAGATTAATATCTACTATTCTATCATAGTGTGCTGTGGTTTATCCCTCTGAAACTCATGTTGGAGCTTGATCTCCAGATGGTAGAAACTTAACAATGACATATAAAAGTGAGGCCCACTGGGAGGTGATTAAGAGTAGATTAGATCATCAGAGTTGAGCCCTATGATCAGGTACAAGTAGCTTTATAAAAGAATAAAGAATGTTCTGTCTCTCTCCATCTGAGCCCTAGGCCACTCTAGTTCTCTGTGCAAGAAAATCATTAGGTCATTAGTTGTGGCCCCCTAGCCTTAGACAAAAAGTTGAGCCAAAATAACTTACTTACTTAGTTTATGGTATAGCATTATTAACAACAGAAAACTGGCTTAACACATAGGAAAATCCATACCCATATGTGAGAAGTCAGGAGGTCTGGGACTGTGCTTTCTGTAGGTCAGTAAGTGCTCATGAAAACAAAAATCCTGTCAGTCTGAGTTTTTAATTGGCTGACTCCTCAAGCCCCTTACCAGTCTACTTGTTTCACCTTGAGACTCCCTGACAGCTATGGGGCCATGTGAAAATTTTAGCAGATCCAAGACCCTGAGCCCATCAGCCTGCGGACTTCCTCAGCTGAGAGGATGTGTGTTAACAGGAAATTCTGTCTTTCCAAAGGAAAGTTGACTGAACTGCTTCTAAACTTCTTGCCCAAGCTGAAGATGAGGCAAACATTTAATTATCAAAAGTGAAGGAAATGAGTGTAATAAGAAAACAGGACCCAGAAGTAAGAAATCAATTCTAAAAATCAGTCGTTGGAGATTTTGATTCATTTAAATTTCCCGTGAGAATCCATTCAGTCTTTTCTTCTGCCCATTCTGTGTTCCCCCAAATAATTCCTCCTCCTAGAAACCAATTTAGAGAGCACCACCTACTTACGCCATTTGGAACTATTACACTGTCACTGAAACAAATTAACACAATGGTTCCAAAACCATTAGAGGTCACCAAAGTTTGTGGAAAGGTGAGAATAAATTTATAAAAAGGATGGACTGCCAAAGTTTATGTGGCTGTTTTGAAGGACTTCCCATTTGCTTCTTGGCTGAAGTTTCCATTTTGAAGCTGTGCTTTAAAAAGGAAGACAGATAACATCTGCCTGCCGACGGAGCCAAGGAAATAATATATGGGAGTTGATGTCAAGTTGAAAAGTGACGGTAATGATATTAGGCAATGTGGATTTATAGTCCATTCACAGTGACACATTTGTTTCTGATTTAAGTTAATTAAGACCATTTTATTTCTTTCTGCTACCACATTCAACCTTTATAAGAAGAAAAAGCAAATAAATATACTTTCTTGGAGAGATTCCAGATTTCAGTAGTTTCATGTCAATGCAGAAGAAAAAGGCTGGGTGCAGCCCTGTCCCCGGGATTGCATCTATCAGCTGTTGTACTTACTGCAGTTACTTAGATTGCTGTCTGGGTCACACAGAGAGCTTCCACCACATGAGTCAAGGCAGGAACTGTAGAGACATCTTTGGTCTCCTTCTTGACATGGAGTCTGACCTGTGAAGGAAAGAAAGACACCGTGGCTTTCACTGACTCTGCATTCCTCACCCTAGGATCTGAAGGGTCAAGAATGCCTGGTGGAGCCGAGGAATGACACAACTTTAATTTCCTTCCAATTTCTCCCTAAAAATATCGAACACATGTGAAACAGGTACTATCTGAACTAATTTTCCTGGCAACTAAGTATAATAATCTATTCCAAGAAGATTCTGCAGGAATGAAGAAATAAGAAAAAAAAAACACAACAGGTGGTTGTTACTTTTAATGGAAAAAAATAGAGTTTTATTTTTACATGGGTGTCTATACTTTAAAATAAAATTCAAGTGAGTTGAGGGACAGAAAGCAATATGAAGATCTTGAAATTCTGAATATCCAGTGACATTACTTGTAAAGCTCATTTACTCCCAATTCTGGTCTCCCCTCTAAGGAAAATTCCCTAGTATTAGTTGACAACCCACACCTGTACAATGAGAGTGCTCTATCATAGTAAGTCTCTTGCAGCTGTTATCCACATCATCACTATGGCCTTGAAGAGCACCCTCAGTCTAGTGAGATGACTTAGGTTTCTTGTTTCCAAATGAATGACAGCATTAATGTCAGCCTTTGCCCTAATGGCTTTTCCTTAAGGTATGTAGAAAGGAAACTGTTCTTCCCGTTGATTTCCTGGTCATTTGTAGATTAAGTGGATAAGGTAATAAATTACTGCCCTTTCACTTTCCATCTCTCCCTCATTATTATGGTCAATTACTTTTAGAAATGTCATGTGGAATCTGGAAAACACTGCAAGGCACTTTTCAGCATTGATAATGTTATGTGAGTATCTATAATCTTATCTCTAATTCTAAGACAATGTTTATTATACTGGAATCCTTTTCCTTGCCAGGCTCACTACTATGCAATGTTATATATTACTGCCATACAGAAAAGAGATGTCACTGTCTATTTTTTTTTAAGCTAGCAGGTTAAGTTTTTTCTTCCCCTCAAGGCAAGCTTAAACAATTTCCATGCACTTAAGCTCCTATTTTGGGACATTGCACATTCATTATTCCAGCAAATATTAAATGCTTACTCTGTGACAAGTGTATGTGACAAACTAGGTGCTGCATGTTGAAAGGTGAAGGAGCATGACAGCCTCTGTGAAGTAGCACCCACTCTAATAGGGACGCTGTCACAACCCAAGCTTCATGATGGCTATATGACCATTGCTTTACCAAAGATCTATATAAAGGGGAGCTGAAGCAGACAAGGGCACTAGGAGAAGCTTCCCAAAGGACTTTACCGGGTAGATGGGGCTATGCTGTGATAAGAGGGAAAGAGGGTTTTCCAAGCAGAAAAGCTACACATGTGCAGGATGAAGTCACTGGATCTTCAACCACTGTGGAGAATGAGGAAGAGTAGACAGGCAGGCAGAGCCAGAGCCTGGAGGGTTTTTAAGGCCTAACTCTTCAACAGGACCTTGTGAGTAGTGGGCGCTGTTTGCCTCCCACCCAACCCAACCATCTAGCAGAACAATTCTACAATCCATGATGACAGCTCTTATGCAGTCCAAGGCCCCCTCCATCCTCAGCTCTCTGATCACAGTCGCCTTCTCCCTGTACTACACATGCCTTGCTCCTTCCCACCTCAGGACTTTTAGCCACCTAGTGCTGTGTGTCTGAAATGCTTTTCCAGTCCCTCTTCTCTTGGTCGATACCCAATGTTCTTCAGATCTGAGCTCCAGGATCTCGTCCCTGGGAGGCTTTGGCTGAGGGCTCCTGCCAGGACATGCACACCCCATTTTCCAGTGTAGGCCATGTCAAACTTTGCATTTAGACACTGACTTATATAACTATTTGTAGCATCTGTATGTCTCCCAGGAGTCTGTAATCTCCATCAGCAGTTTTGTTTGCCACTGAATTCCCAGTAGATGCACCCATATTGGCACCATGATAGCACACTTTTTTAAGTTGAATCATTTATAGTAAACAATATAAATGTACTAAAATGTGACTTTTTCTATACATTTTATGATGTGATTTTCTGACATTTCACACATGTAAGGAAATAATCTGCAAATCCTGCCTTTTTCATAGTGAAGCATCCAAAATTATTTTGGATCATTTAGAATCACATAGAGATGATTTAATTATATGTAAAGAACAATTTGATCCAAAGGTAAGATCTTGGTTGATATGCACACCATAACTCATGCCTAGTAAAGGATTTCTGTTTGAATTTTAAAACGGATAAAACAAAGTTCTCTTTATGTATTATTTTCAAGTAATAAATATGTGTTATCAAAGCTCACCTTTTAGGCCTTGGAATCTCCCTCACTAAAGCTATTCTAATAACCAATATTCTTTATGATTAAACTAGCTTATCTGTATATCTACAGTGTGCAGTCTCATTTGCTGATTATGAATATGCAAAGCCCAATAAATGCTGTAACCACACAATAAGGACCAACACTTACTCCATTCTCACTAAACATCAACCCTACAAAGTAGTTATCACTATTTGGAGTATGGAAACACAGAAACTGAGACACAGAAGGATGAAGTAACTAGCCCAAAGAACACCGGATAGTAAGTGGTAGAGCCAGGGCTTGAAGCCAGGGCTGCAGCAACCACATTCCTAACACCTAGGCTATTCTTGTATCCTATAAGCCAATGTGGTGATGGGTAAGCTTTGGGATATTCCTAAGAGCTTTGTCCTGAGAGGCTTGCATATGCAAGAACTTAAAACAAACAGTGTGGAATTTTCTTTTCTGACAGAAATGTTCACATTTAAAAACCAACTTATTTGATCTACTCTTTCTTTTCAAGTTTCACACATGGATATCACACTCTTTTTAAAGGGTGTTTGAGTTTATTGCTTGGTAATGTGAGATATTAGACTACCTCTCCTTAACGAGGTTATTTTAGGAAGCTGTTCCATTTAATTTCAGGAGCTAGTTTTTTTTTTTTTTTTTTCTAATTGGAATCTAATCTCGTTTAATTGGATGCTCTACACTAAACCTTCTTCTTTATCATGGCTCTCCCTATGAACAGCTAGCTGAATCTGACCATGTTGTTTCACCCTGTCCCTTCCCCCTGAGAAATGACTTTCAGCCTCTGTCACTCTAACACAGAAAGGTTTCCTGACTGCCCAGGGCAATGGGGATCCCTGAGGCAATATGAAAGATTTATGTGGAAATCCTTCTTAAACACTAAGTTAACTTTCAGATATTTTACTCCCTTCCCAAGGAAAAGTCCACCAATGAATAAATGTCCCAGGGGCCTGGGACACACTCACTGTCACCACAGTTCTCCTCATCACTCCCATCCTTGCAGTCCTCGTCTCCATCGCACTGGAAAGAGCTGGGGATACACTGTCCATTACTGCACTCCACCAGGCCCTGGCTGTGACAGGCTAGGAAAGACCAGAACAGCACTCACCTTATTCATTCATTCTTCAATCTGCAGATCACAGGCATGATTCCTACCTATCAGGCATCACCAAGAAACGAAGTATTCTATGTATGGATCAATCAACGGCTTGTTAAATGCCAAGATTTTTTTTTTTTTAGAATGCACAGTTTTCTTTCTAGAATTTTGCCTTCTTCTCTAAAGAGCGCTTGCTAAAAATTCACTTTTTCTTGGGAAGTGTGGGGTTGTTTTCAGTAATGGTAGTGGTGATACTACCAATAATATGAGATATGTGAAGGACCTCTCAATATAGTTTATTTCCACACTTGTTGATGACATCTGATATTTGAAGGGAAGATCCAGTAGCCATTAGCCTTGTGATTCCTGTAGTTTTTCTAATGTCAATGCCTACCATCTATTAGGGTAACAGAAACCCATGAACCTTGGGTTGTGTCCTTGCTGTCCCCAGATCATCTGCATACAGCCCACTCTGCTCCACTGGTTCACTGAGGAGGGGGCTTAGTTGACACTTCACTTCGAATTCAACTCAGGGCAGGGAAAAGCTGCACAATTTTGTTCATGAAACATTTTACAAAATATTCTTATGCCCAAATTAAAACTGTTATTCAAATTTATGTTTTTGCCTCAAGTTATAAGCCAGTTAAATATTGAATTTCATATATGGTATCCCTAGATTCCTTACTCACAGATTCAACCAACCACAGATTAAAAACACTCAGGGGAAAAAAAGTTGTCCTGTACCGAACATGTAGAGACTTTTTTTTCTTGTACTTATTCCTTAAACAAAATGTATATAGTATAACAACTATTTGCATAGCATTTACATTATATTGGGTATTATAAGTAATCTAGTGATTATTCAAAGTATATAGGAGGATACACATAGGTTACATGCAAATGTTGAAGCATTTATATAAGGGGTTTAAACATCCACAAATTTTGGCACCCATCCAGGGTCCTAGAGCCAATGCCCCACAGATATCAAGGGGCAGCTGTATATCAATTCTTCCTACTTTTATTAGAAAGCAAAAGATGAAAAAAAATCTTAAAACTAGTTAGAATATGCATGAATTACATTACATTGACTCAGGTCAACTGTGCTCTCTTTAATATACAATTACTATAATTCAATCATTTTTATTTTTGCCTGCTAGGGATAGTATATTTTCTGGGAGGTGGGAAAAACTTGTTGTTCCTGGTTTAGTAGTGTAAGAGCTACCTGAAATTTTCATTCACCCAGAAACACAATAGGCTGTAAAACAATCATTACAGTCATGCAATTTCTATGTCTATATAAACATAACAGACTCTCTTCTTTCTAGCAGTTCTTCCCGTGTTCTCCCATAAATGGCCCCTAAAACATGTTTGGAGGCTTCTATGGGGAAGTTTCATATAAACAGTGAAACTGTTTATATGTTGTTTGCAGAAACAAGAACCACTGGTCTCTGGGAAGAGCATTACCTTTGGCAAAGCTACAGATACATAGAGAAGACCAGAGCAATGAGAAAGAAAACAGATGCCTGCTTGGCAGATGAGTCACATTAAGTTTGGGAGAGAGGTGTGAAGTCACACACTATAATGCTATTGCCATCACACTCCTTGATTGCTACCTCTATAGGTAAGAAGCAAAGAATAAGAATGTTTCCCCCGGAATGGTGTATAGAGAGTGAACCTTGAGTATAGTCCTCAACCTTGAAAACCCACTGAACAAGAAGAAGTGGAAAGTAAGCAAAATGAGAATCCTCAGAGTACTCACAGCAATTGACCTCGTCGGATTTGTCCACACAGTCATGGTCACCATCACACACCCACTCAGCCACAATGCAGCGCCCATCCCCACAGCGATGCTCCTTTGTAGGATTGCAATCTGGAGGAAAGGAAGATGCATGGAGACAGAAATAGCATGAAAAACGTTTAGAATTGTGTGGCTCACAGTTCCAATGTAAGAGAATCTATTCCCACTGCCCCAATACCTCAGAAATATTTCTAGGATGAGCCTGACACAATTAAAATAGTACCTCCCACCAACCATGAGCCCTACTGCACACATCACCATGGGGGAGATGTGCCTGCTTCTCAGATGAATTACACTACTCTGCCCCACTTTGCCAGGGCCCTGATTCTGTTCTTATTGTTGTCCTCTTTTGTTTTCTTTCCTTATGGACAATTTGCGAATTTTATACTGACTCAAATAAACCACACTCTGATTTGTACTTCATGATGCAGAGAGCTGACTGGATGTATGTGTGACTGTCTCTCTTGTCTCTAAGAATTGTAATTTACCTCCCTGGCAAATTGGTAAGGCAAGTATCTCCTTATGTCATCTCTCCTGAAGCTCAGCTTAGGTTTCCTATACGGACTATCTTAATATACAACTCATATTTGAAAGAACTACTGAGTAAGCAATGCAAAATGTTATTGTTTTCATGATTCTTTTCAACTTGGATTTAAACTATATCCCAATCTACACATTCCTGGGGGGTGGTGGGGAGATCACTAAGTGATGTTTCCTCTCTCGAAGGGTAGAATCCATGGGCTGCCTTGCAATGTGACGTGTATAATCTAAATATAAGTTAAAAGATGTGTGTGGATTCACGAATAGCAGATTCAGTATGGGAAATTAGCCTGTGAATCTCCATGAATAGAGCCACTGTCATAGACTCCTGAGAGATCCCCGAGTCTTGATGGTTTGGAGCAGTGAAGGAAAGTATGTAGAAGACATAGCGCAGAGAAAAAAAGAAGCACACAAAAGGTGAAATGCTTGGTTAGGAACCAGAAAAGCCATCCAAGTCCAGTCCACTAGAGACAGGGAGCCAGGGCAGAGACCAATCTGAGGGAAGGTCATAATTACAGCCATTAGATGAAAACAACTGCCAGCTTCGGGGCACATACTTCATGATCTCCTATCTCCAGAAGCCTTATGATGAGTGGCAGGGGTTTTCTTTTTACACACTAACTACTCTGGCCCTTTCCACTAACCTATCCAGCCACCAAACTACATGAACTGCCCCATTCCCACATTTTTCCACTTATTTCATTGGAAAAAGGAGGGAATGGACTAGCTGATCTCTAAGGCCCCTTGAAACTAAAGATTCTATGATGTGTATAATGCAATTCTAAGTCATAAGAATGCATTCAGTCTCACCCTTTGTCTGAACTCTAATCAGACCCAGAAGACAATCCACATCACTCATGGGATTATTTGTACACATACATATATTTCAATTTGTGTGTGTGATGCCGGAAACCAAACCGGTTAGCAAGGCCTTGTGCATGCTAGGCAAGTGCTCACCCACTGAGCTACACTCACAGTCCCGTTTTTCAATATCTTATTAAATACAGTGAGGGGAGTAGTCAGACAATGTTCCCAGAAACTACCAACATTCCTAGCATGGAATCGTTTCTGACACCCATCACTCCAAGATATTCCTCTGATCATTAGTCCTTTTCCAATATTCCTTTCAACATTCTCTAACACTGAACAGTGGCTCACATCATTTTCTCATTGTCCATTCTCACCTCAGGTTGCCCTTTAGTTCAAAGTTCTTATTTTAGTCAACCAATAAAGTGGTACCTAAAAATTCTAAAGTACAAAGCTGAAAAGGTAAATAAGCAAGAGTAATTTTGCTGGTTTAAATTTATGAGATGGCATTTAGAATTGAACATGGCTCTTTAAAGGATAGGTTCTTTAAAAAATAAGAATATCAGCATTTGTGGTTGAAACAAATGTGTCATCCTAACCCTAGGAGTGGCCTCTACTCAAGGAGTAGCGCTTGGGAATCAAATACAGGAGGCATCTTTGGTCACATCCAATAATTTGCAATCTGTCTATAAAGTTTTGCTCAAGAGCTCAGGATCCAAACATAAGACACTGGCTCTAATCAGAGGAAAAACAGAACACAGAGGAAAACACATTAGCATTTTAACAACTTTTACCCATCTTTCCACCCCATTCATTAACATTTCCTTAGCATGATTATTTATATAAAAAGTATTACATTTATACACATGATTGATTGAACAAAACTCTTCCTTCTAGGAATTACAAGAAACCAAACATTTTATAATTTAACTTGCTAATCATATTAACAAAGAGTGAGCTACAGGTTCTTGGTTATAAACATCTGTGATTTGCAATTAAAACCTTTAGGGAAACAATGCTACTTACCACAGTTTTGCTCATCGCTCAGATCCCCACAGTCATCATATCCATCACACACGAGGCTATAATTAAGGCATTTGCCTGTGTGACAGCGAAACAGATCTTCACTGCAGTCTGCAAATAAGAGAAACTACCAATGTGTTACCAGGGATATGCAGATGTTATAATAGAACTTTATTTAACAAAAGTCCATCATGGTAGGAGAACAATGATGACAACCTGGTCCACACCTATTGCTTTACAGGTGAGGAAATTATGGCACAGAGAGACCCAATGACTTGCTCAAGATTATTGAACAAGAGACTGTAGAACTGGACTAAAGACTTTCGGGGTCTTGAGCCGAGTACTTCTATCACCTTCTGAAGATGACTTCTGTGTTATGTTATTCCTTTAAAGAAGATGAGAAAGGTCATTCTCATTTCACCTTGGTTTCTAGTGAAATTCATGTTCATGCTCATGCAAAATGAAGGATTTTAATAGGAGCAGGGGGAAGTAGTGCTTTCCTAAAAGTGGTTCGTTTACAGTAAAAGTCTAGGTCAGTCAATGGTAAGCATAAACATAATAGAAAAAAATAAGCCACTAGATTACAGAGTTGTTACTTCTTTTGCATAAACATTACTATTTAAGTTATCTGAATGTTGCATAACATCTGATCCTCAAATAAATAAGCACTGTCTTAAATAAGCAAGATGAGAATAAGTGATATGTAATCTTAAGAAGTTTGAAGTTTAATATTGAAATCAAGTACCTGCAGGGAAATAGTTTCTCAATTTTAATAGAAGATAAGGTCATCTATTGGATAGACCTGAACTCCTAACCTGGTTCGAACGTCTGTTAGTTGTGGGACTTTTAGTGTGTTAGTTTGAAGTTAGGAAAATTTCAGCCACTTTACAGGTTTGGGAGAACATTTTAGTAAAATAATATATGTAAGGTGCCAATACTATTCAATGGGAAAAGAATGTTCTTTTTAATATATTATACTAGGACAATTAGAAACCAAATGTGCAAACATATAAACAAAAGCACTGATCTTCACCTCAAACCATACACTAAAACTAACTCAAAACAGATCATAGGCTTAAAAGTAAGAGTGAAAATCATGAAGCTTCTGGAATAAAACAGGGGAAATTTTTTTTAACTTTGGATTAGGCAAAAAATTTTAGATGTGACACCCAAGCCCAACAATTTTAAAAAAAATACCATTAAGAAAATGAGAAAACAAACCACATACTAGAAAAACACCCACAAATCACCTATGTGATAAAGAACTTATATACAGATAGAATAGTAACACCCACTAAAAAGACAAAAAGCAACCCATTACAAGTGGGCAAAAGACTAGAAAAGAAAGACTTTGTGAAAGACATACAAATGGAAAAATTTTCTCCACATTTTTAGTCATTAAAGAAAGGTAAACTTAAACCACATCTAATGTATAGATACCACTACATATTCTCTCACATGGCTCCAGTCAAAAAGGTAGATAATACCAAGACACTGGCAAGGATTTTGAGAAACTGAAACTCTCATGCTTTGCTAGTGGGAGAAAAAATAATAATAATACCACTTCAGAAAACAGTCTGACAGCTTACCCACATCTAATTCATGAATTCTACCCTTAGGAGTCTATCCAGGAGAAATTAAAACATATCCACACAAAGACGTGTATATGAGTGTTTATAGCAACATTATTCAAAATAGCCCCCAAGTGGAAAAAAATCCAAATGCTCACAAACAGATGAATGAACCATAAATATAATATGCTCATACAGTGGAATCTATCCAGAGATCAAAAGAATCAAACCACTGTTCCATGTGACAGTTATTAATGAAACTCAAAATGTTTAAGTGAAAGAAACCAGACTACATGTTATATGATCCACTTATGAAATTTCAGAAAAAAAAAAAATTTAAGGAGACAGAATTTAAAGCAGTGGTTCCCAGTGTCTGGAGGGAGAATGACTGCAGATGTGTGGGAGGGAAGTTTAGAGGGAAAGGGGAAAGTTCTAGGGCTCCATTGTGGTGATGGCTGCACAACTCTTATCAATTTACTAAAAGTCAATAGGTGAAATTTATGGTATATAAATTATACCTCAAAAAGCCTGTAAAATGTTCTACATTAATAGGGGTAAAGAAGCCCACGTTTATAACTAACTAGGTTTCTTTTTTCCTCTGAGGAATTCAAAATGATTTTATTTCTTTTTTTAAGATTTTATTGGTAAATTATAATTATATGGAATAGTGGACTTCATTGTCACAGACACATAACATAATTTGGTCAATGTCATTTAAATATATTCTCTTTTCCCTTATTTAAAATAACTGCAAAAATAGGTTGTATATAGCTGGAGAAGAATTAGGGAAGATGGGCAGAATTTCAGTGGTGGGATAGGAATGAGAATTTTATCATGTGTCAAGTACAGGGAACAGCAAAAATAAATGAAAAAAAAAAAGATGAGAATGGGAGCTATATTTGAAGATCACTCTACTCCACTGTTCAGTCTACTGAATTCCAGCTGCTGTTTGTCCTCCTGTATCTCATACAACTGGTGGTAGGCACCTCTTTACTATAAACATCCCAACTGGATGACAACTTATTTTCAAAAGTCTTTGGCTCCCATCATTTAGCTTCCAAGTTCTAGCATTCTGTAGCACCACGAGTGATTACAGTTTACAACAACCTATTATATATTTTATAAAGTGGTAGAAGAGAGGAGTTTGAAGGCTCTAAGAACAAAGAAATGATGATAAGATGAAAATGATAATTCCTTGATTTGATCATTATATATTGGATGCATGTATTTACTGAATTATCACACTGCACCCCATAAATATGTTAAATTAAGTCAGAGGCAGGGAAGCCTTTGACATTGATCAATTAAACTATTAACTACATCAAAATGTTACATTTATATATGCATGAATCATGAATATCTATTTCAGAAAAAAAAGCATTCTAAAAAGAACAATTCAAAAAAATTTAGAATCACATCATTTTAGAAAGGAAAGGGTTTTAGAGATCATCTGTGCAGCATCTTCAGTGAGATGAGTGTATGTACACAGAAAAAAATGCACATATGTTCACAATTACACACATACAGAATTTTTATAAGTACTTTTTACTTTATTACTTCTCCCAGCCTGAAGATTTTTCAAATTAAGATAGCCACATTAAGATAAGATACAAGAACCAAGAGGTCCTAGCTATGGCCTTGACTGTACTAATTCCTCCCCTCAGCAGAGGGCGTGATCTCCACACCCCGCAACCCACTGCTGAATGAGATGCCTGACAGCTGAGTCCAGAAAGGTTAAGACATTGGTTTTCATCTTCACTGGGCAAATCTGAAGAATTTGTGAATCGAGATATACCCATTTCCATGCAAAGTTTTAAAAGGTCTTTTAGATTTTTTGTTCTATTTTAATCTAAATTACTCTTGTTGGAAGTATTGAATCAATGTTAGTATTAATGATAACCAGAAAAATAAGGTATCCCAACTTGATTATAGGTGCAAAAATACATGCACCCTCCAGAGTTGTGAGGGGTGGAATGGCAGATTTAACCATATGAGTTAAATTTCTATTTAAGCAGTGCACCTCATGTGTTCTGATGATAGGAATACTGGGGAATCAAATACTCCTTTCAGAATCTGATTAACAAGAGAACACAACAAACATTTTCAAAGGTTTATATGTGCTCTTTGAGGTCCATTCTGCACCCCTGCTAATTCATTCTAACACACCTCGTTGGAGGTATGTTTAAAACTAGTGCTGTTTTATTAAATTACTTTATAAATGGGGAGGAAACAGGCATTTTTTTTAATCCTCATTATTCACACAGGTGCAAATTGAACTTTCCACTGTTATGACTTCCTTGGTGAGGAGCCATTTTCAGAAATTAGACACAAAATTAGTTGGATTTGGAAAACAACTTGTTACTTCCCTAAGGTCTGTGTGATTAGTAAACATTCAAAACCTTCACCGGAGGCAATGCACAGCCAGAAATACACAGCAAATAACAAAGATCACAGTGCCTCCTTTTATTGGGATCAATGTTTATTTGAACTGAAAAGAGATGTTGTCAGCACAACTTGAGGCCAACAAATCAAAATTTTCAAAAGGTGCTTGCTGCGCCGAATTTCTTGCTCAATATGAGCATAATTTTCTGTGACCTAAGGTTTTTCTACATACAGCTCCTTTTTTGTTAAGGAGATCTTGATGCAAAACATTTCTTCTGAAGTTCTTGTGTGTTGATATTTATTTCAGTTTGGAAACTCATGTGAACTTTTGTCCCTCAAAATTATCATTAAAAACTAAGCAACAAGAAGGCTTTTAAACAAGTGCTTCATTGAATTGGCTCAGTCTCTGTAACTCCATAAACAAATATGTTGCCTCAACTCAAGAACTATGGAGGCTCAATTTCCACCCACAGAATGTTAAAAACAGATGGGACCAAAAAAAAAAAACAAAACATTTCATCCAACCCTGTCGCTATGAGATGGCCAGAGAGGTCCAATGGTTTGCCTACCATTACCTAGCCCATTAACATCAGAGCTGTGAGAGAGTCTGGAAGAGAGCTGTTCAACTGCATTTCTTGCTGATATTTGGGACTGGGTAAATTCTTCATTGGGTTGGGAATGGCTGCCCTGGACACTGTAGGATTTTTAGTAGCACTCTTGGCCTTTAGCCACTGAATACCAGTAATATCTTTCCTCATCCTTGTAGTTGTCAAAAATGTCTCCATCCATTGCAAAATGTTACCTAGAGGGTTGAGAACCACTGTTATGGAATACACAGACATCACCTAAGGGCAAGGCCTGGCTTTAGTATTACCATTTCCATCAGCTGCTCTACAAAACCAGCTCCTGGTGATCTCCCCACCCCTTTTCTGCTCATAATACTTAGTGCTACTACATTTTTGTTTGCATCAATCTTGTTTGACTTTGTGTCATTGCTTGTATTATTGTTTTAAAATACCAGATTTAGTAGTTCCTATGTTTACATATTATTTTTCTGATTAGACTAAAATTCTCACGAAGAAAGAAACTGTATCTTAGCATGTTTAGTTATTGGGTTATCTAGAACATGCTTCCCACATAGTTGGAATTCAAGAATATTCAATAGTTAGATTGACTTGGTATAATCAGGTCACCACTACACAAAAGTGGATTTTGCAAACAGTAGAAGCTTCCTCTTTTATTTTAGAATGAGATCTTTTGGTTATTTTTATAGAAATCTTTTTAGCATTTACTTGCATCCCATTTAGTAAAAAGATCATAGTAGCTATATTCATTTTTGATGACCTGGAAATATCACTTGGAATATCATTTTTTATTTTGTGCTATTCAGTTGCCTCTTTTCTAAAATATCTTCATGTGGTGCTGCTTTTAAAATTGTTGTACATATTTTAGTGCTTATGTCTCGCCTACCACATATCTCCTGAACCTTTAACAACAGTTCCATGACTTCCAGTGGTCATCCTCTGCACCCTAGAAATGAGAGGTGCTGGGTGGAGGTGGCAGAGAGAATAAGATGACACTAACACCAACAGTGATAATCACAACCATAAATCCTAATACTCTTTGAGAGTTACTGCATGTTATTGCTCTACATGCTTTATGTGCTCTGGATTATAATATCTTTAATGCTAAATAGTTTTGTCCCCACTTCATTGATGAAATTGAGGCACAAAGAGGTTGAGCATCTGGCCCCAAGCTCTGTGATGCAGGAAATGGTAAAGATAAAAATGTAGGCGACCTGTCTCAAAAACTTAAAGTATTAGCCACCATACTGTAGCACACTCATTATAATTAGGTAACCACCGTCTTCAAAAATAAATCCACCAATTTTACCCGAAACTCAGAACAAGTGATTTACAAAAGTATTTGATAGTGGTTTTATATGGTATAAGATATTTTGTAGCAGCTATATTTTCCCCTCTGGCAAACATTTTCTTTGAGGCTTTACAAAATCTCTATACATTCATTTACTATCTGATCATAGAATCAAAAGAATATATGGAATATATAGATACACTAGATATCTTCTAGTCCAGTGGTTTCAAATCTAGCTGTATGTTAGAGTTACTTAGGCAGCTTTGAAAATGTACTGCTGCCTAGGTATAGCTCCAGACCAACTGAATGAGAATCCCTGGATGCAGAGCTTCCTGGAGATGCTAACTTGCAGTCAGTCTTCATGCTAAGACAAGCCAGGGTTAGAGAAATAGCCTGCTTTAGGTTGCAGGACTTGAAATTTTTAGTTTTCTTAAGTTTCAAAAATCTTTCCCTTAAACCACTAAAGTTGTTCCAGGTGGTTGGAAATCTTTTCATTCAATAAATACTTAAGAAAACAACTGCCATACAAGACAAAATTAGTTAAGGGGAAAAATCAGTAACATCACAGATACTTGAAGTGCTGTCACAATAGACAATTACTTCTCAAAGCATAATAGAATATCCAGAACAGTTATGCATTTTCTTGTCATATGAATGATCAGAATATAATCATTAACCAAATCTAAACTTTAATGACAAGGAAAAGTCCATAGTAGCATAACTGAAAGAAAACAGCATTAGATATGAAAATGTTCAGACAGGGTTGAAGTCTATACTTCAAATCCTGCCAAATTTATTCATCAACCTAAGCTCTGGCACTTCATTCATACAAGAAACAACAGATAATATCTCCAGTGCTGGTGATTAAATCAAATCACATGGGAAGTTGATTGGGTAATTCACAAATAAGTCCCTTCCCTTCCTTCCTTTGAATATGACTAAAAATAAATGAATAATTCCAACAAACTGTACAAGCTACCTAATTTGACCCATATTTCAGAAAAATAGACAAGTACTTACTAGAGACCATTATTGCATCTAATCCATATATGCATGATCTCTTCCGGCAATCCTCTGCCGGTTTACCTGCCAGAACCTTACAAACTAGAATTTTCTTCTATTTCTCACTGGGCATACTCAGCAAAACTTCCTTCTCCCTCTTGACCATCTGTGGGGCTGTGTTCATGCTCCAATTTTTATGCAAGCCCTCATTCAAACACACACTACTCTTTCCCTTCAAGGTGGTGATGACAGAAGCATGGTACCTTCCATGAACATTCCACACTTTGAATGTCAAACTTGGGCACAGATGTGGTTTTATATGGTACGAGGTATGCAGATTTTGTAGCAGTTATATTTTCCCCTGTGGCAAACATTTTCTTTGAGGCCTTAAAAAATCTATATACATTCATTTACTAAGCACCTGCTCTGTGTTGTCAGGCACTTGTCAGATCTGATCATAGAATCAAAAGATTATATGGAATGTTAGCCGCAAAAGACACCAGATATTTTCTAGTCCAGTAGTTTCAAGGTCAGAGACAATTGCATGTGAAGCCTTCTATATCTGACCAAGGGTTTTTCTACAGAAATTTTCTGAAGGGATGCAGTTCCTCAATAAACCAAACCAGATGCTTTCTGAAGTATGTTCATAAGGAAAGTCCACACTTACTAGGACATTGCTAAATACCTTCCAGAATGGTAAAATCTTCCTGTCCTGTTGGTGGTTAGGATAAGTGACCCCTTCAAGTTCAATTTCAACGAGTACAGCAGAAAGCACTTATGTGCTCAAAATAACATGCTCAGAACCATGGAGAACAAAATGATGAAATAGCATTGGCCCACCCCAGGGAGTAGGGACACACATGGAATTTGAATAATGCTAAAACACAGGCCACTATGGAGATAAACAAGTGATTCCACCACAGTTCACATAAATTAGATGTAATTCAATTGAACTTTTTAGAATTCCCTACTATGGTTCTTTTGGTGGAATATTTCCAGAAATATTCCCCAATATAAATATATATCCTATAAAATGTTTTTCCTATAAAATTATGTCATACTTTTTTTCTGAAGAGAGAATTCCACATTGTAAAACAACAAATGTCTTACTGAAAACATTTCCTGAAATATGTGTGGCATAACTGGTGTTCCATGGAATGCTAGTTACTATGTAAAATAAACGAATGCATAAATAAAGGTGAGAGTTCATATGAGGAAAAAAATTTGAGGATATACCAGGTTAAGCAAAATTAATGTCGTTGTTCAAGATTTCTTATAATGTTTAATAGACAAACAAGTATTTTAAACTCTCCAAGAAATAGCCATGAGAGCTTTTTCCAAAACTTTTTTTCATCAAGCATGTTTCAAGACTCAGGTTCTATGGAACCTAATTTTGGGAATCACTGAGTTGAAATGTTACTATAATACACTGCCTGTCCAGAATTCTGACAAAGAACCATCTTAACCCTTCGGATAGAAGAGTTGGTCACTCAGCAATCAGACTAGAGGAATCTCTCAATCAAGGTCAGCCATCTGGAGCTCTTATAAAGCCTTGGTGATTCTCATGGGAAGTAAAAACACTCTTCCCATGCTAACTATGTCTGGTTATATACCCATTAAAAAGCAATTAGAACACAATTACACATAGGTCTGTTTTGAATACAGATCATGCAGTGTAATTCTCCAGGTTAGTTTCCCTTTTTCTGTCTGGTGCATAAGTACAAAATAACTTGAAATCTAAAGCTATATTGGACAAACCACCATGACGTCAATTCATTCAAAACAACTAATCAAGTCAATTTAGTAAACTGAGAATGTTTAATGCCTTTGACTATATCCAATTTAGAAGAAGCATCTAAAAAAGATGATTTGAATCGTGTTTGTTTTAGTTTACAGGAAAAAAATCCTATAAAAATATTCTTTTAAAAAAATTTCATTGTCCATTATACTCATGAAAACTTAAAATCCAAAACAAAATTCCTTACTCAAACAAAATAAATGTAAAATCTTCTCCCAATTCTGGGAGACTTAATGCAAAAACTTTTCAGTCACTGATCTGTTCCAATGTAGTATCTAGCTATTGAGTTTTTCTCAATAAAACCATGCAAACACACTACTGTCACTCTGGGATAAGGTAAACATGTTAGTTCACTTCAGAAAGGCAAACCAAAACTGTCCACGAAACACTGAAAGGTCGGTAGTTGTCAGGATTTGACAATGGAATGGTTTGGGTTTCTAGGCTCCTGAATAGAATCCCTGTTCACCAGAACAGACCCAAACAGCAGGCCACGTACTGCAATGTGCCTCGTCACTCCAGTCATCACAGTCATTGTAGCCATTACACTGTAGCTTCTGGGGGACACAGATCCCACTGGTGCACAGAAAGTTCTCACCTCCTCCGCAGAGCACTAAAAAGGGGGGAAGGGCAAAAAAAGCAATGTCAGAATAGGGTCTGTTTCCCCCCATTTAAGACAGAGAAATAAATAACAGAAAACCTTCCCTTGCTGTTCAACAGATTTGTTTCCAAATTCCCTCTGTTTCATTGTCACCAAGTTTCTCTTTGGTATTTTGAAACATTAATTGTGAAATTATCTAGAAATAATTCCAAGAGTGTTTGCTTGCACAGTGAGGAGTACATGTTCAGGGGGTGGGGGGAAGCCTCATTCATTGTATAGCTTATATGGGGAAAATACCCAAAGAGAATATCTTTCTTAATAATTGAAAATAATGTCAAAGTGAAGTATTACTAATTAAACAAACATAAAAAGCCCTCTTTTTCTAAAATGCTATTTTATGCAACAGAGACGATTATAGTAAATATAAAGCCAGTCAATTGATGTGTACTGGAACAAAGCATAGAGACCCTATGCCCTGCATTTGAAATATATTTCCCGACTTTACTAAAAATGCCAGCCAAAATGTCAGAGTCTGTTTTGGCATAAGGAATGGGAAATGACATTAGCTAATAATATTTTCATTCATTCCCTGCCCCCAGTTGTACAGTTACATTTTAATGTGTTTTGCTTTTGGTATTATGGTGCTCTTTTATCTGCCCCCTCTCCAAATTCAACAAATATTCAATTGTTTAAATTATGATAGATAAAAAAAATCTTAAGATGAAAAGCTAGGAACACTTTTTAAGGAAAATGACAAATAAAAGGATATATCAGTTCAACAAAGTGGATGTTAAATTAATTTAAATATTTGGTAATAAGCCTGAAATGCATCTGACACTTGACTCAACAATTTTATTTCTTGAACTTCATACAAAGGATATCATTTTTAATACATATGAATTTTATTTTTAAGAACATTCATACCATCATTGTTTATAATGTGGAAACTACAAAATAACAATTATGTCATAGTAAGAAACTGGTTAAATAATTTGGCACCTACATAATACAAAATGTTATTACAGTCACTGAAAAAGTATATTTTAGAAAATACTCAATGTCCTGGGGAAAAATTTTAAGATACTTTAAGTGGAAAAACACCAATTGATTTTTTCCACTTAAATATAAATATAATATAATTTGTCATTAGAAGAAGTATATCAAAAACTACTGTAACTGTCCCTGGTGATAGAATTAAAGGCAATTTTTATTCACCATAGTTTACTCTGTACTTTACAAATGTTCTTATAATGATTGTTATTTTTTTAATCAAAAAAGCAAAACTTCTGACTTTTTTCATGAACTCCAGTTGCAGTAGATAAAATGAACCTTGAACCCCCTTCCTCCTTTCACCAAAGCTAGTGTGTGTGATGTCAGCTGTGTGGTCCATCACCTGGTCACTGCCACCATTCCCCGAACTGGGTATTCCTTGATCAGATGAACGTTGTGGACTAAATACTGGGAACCAGGAAGTGTGGAGTATTTCACTCAGAATTAGAAAAAAAGAAAAGTACCAACTGAAAACTGCAGGTGCTAAGGTCCATGTCTGTCAGGCTTCCCCCAGTGTTCCTGGGACTCATCAGAGTGACTGACACTCAAGAGTTTCTAAACTACTATTTGCAGGGAAAAGTCTCCTAAATCTCCAAGGAGCAATATACTACCACAAAGCAAAAAAAAAGAAAAAATTAATAAACTATTTTTCAATGCTATCAAGGAAATCAGCATTTCAACTCGCTGAATGTTAAGTCCTAGTTGATTTGGTAAATTCACAATAACAACAGCAAAAATTTGGTTTTTCATTATATCCCACAATTTCAGAAGCAATAAAAATTACATCTATGGATTTCAACTTTCAAAATATTCAACATGTTTAATGATGCATAACAGTGTTAAGACAATTCAAGACTGGAATTATAGCACTCTGCTGTCGCCCACATCCCGCATGGGCTACAGAAGTAAGGCCACTCTGGGTGAACTGGGCTGGCAACAAAAAATCCACACAAACACGAAAATACCTTTTTCCTCAATTGTGGGGGCCAAGATGGCTCTTCGACCTCAAAGATCAGCTCCCACACTGGAAAGAGGGCAAGGGGAACAAGAGAGGCAAGCAAGAGAGAGAGCACACCTGAAATCCCCCTGTTTATTGTGGAAAAGCCATTCATAGAATATTCCATCCAAATAAGGCAAGGGATTGGGTTTCAAAGGATGGAGTCTTGCTTGGAGATGTCTCCTGATCAGCAGGTTGATTGACATCTTGGAAAGCCACACCTATCTCAGGTGCTGTGTGGGATCACAGGCAGATCGAGAGAAAAGGCAAATCCCAATCAGGCAGCAACCTCAGGCCAGACCCCTCTACTGCTCAAATGCATATAGCTCACACACAGCCCATGGATGGCTCCCGTGACACTCTGCACTGTTATAGCTACAAATACAGATTCCTAAAGGGCACCCATGAAACCAGATATAAAATGAAAAGCCAGAATACTAAGATTTTATTAGCTAGTCTTACAATATCCCCTTTCTAGGGTTAAGAGAAAAAAATTAAAAATTAAAGAATGATAATCCTATTGTGAGACTATATGTATACATACGAAAGAGTGCAAAAGTTCCATTTATCTGCATTGCAGCAACTGCAGTGCCTTGAGAATTATTGCCTTCCCCACCTACAGCTTTCAAGATGCCTCTAGAAACACAGCTGAAAGCTCAACATTAAATAGCTGCTATCCTCCAGATCTCATCTCTAAGATGCAATATATATGACTTCAGTAAAAACATTTCTTGTGTATGTTCACTTCAAATCTGGATCAAATTTAAAATCCAGCACTGCTTGCATTGTCTTGGTTATTGATATCTCCTGTCTTGGCTGATTCAGTAGAAGCTGACTTCTGTGTGTATCTACATTTGGAGGCGGGGCTACCCTTGGTTTTAGGATATTATGAATTTTTTCTTTATTTTAATTCTTTCTTTGAAAGTTCATAGTTCTGCTAATCAATATTACTTTTGCAAAATCAACATAAGTAGTCTCTAATCTCTTTCTGATTGATTGCTTTTGAGCCTTATTCAGAATTTCTAATTTATTTTTATACAACTTTTCAATCAATGAAATGATATAAACACATCTTGTTTGGAATTTCTAAATACCCTAGAAGATAAACAGGTAGGCATTTTTATCTCAATTTCCTTGAGGGAATGATAGTTTGCAAATAGAGAAACTGTAGATTCATAAGGTTAAAGACAATGGTGGGGGAAAGCCACATGGTTAGTTCAAGGTACCTGGGCTTCCAGCCCTGTCCTCCACAGCACGACTACTCCCATTTCTGTACATGTCAGTGGTGTAGTCAGCTGACATGAGGCCAGTTCAAGGGTATCAGGTTTGAGTGAAAGCTCACACTTGTCCTTACTTTTCTGTCTAAACAAAAGACACATGTCTGTCCTTCAAGGGAATTGAATCCAGATGAAATGGCATTCCACATCAGCTCTAGTTCTTTTTTTTGGAAAATCTCCTAAGAGGGCTCTTAACAAGTTGCTGCTCAGACGTTTTGACCATACATTTCACTGTCTTATACCAGTCATCATCCAACAGACAAAAGGAGATCACAGAGAAGTTGTGCTATATAATCTCAACACCACTTCCTATATCATCGATAATTCTAAGAAGAAGGTATTGGATTTTAAATCAATGGCAGATTGATGATTGGAAGATTTATTAATTAATTTAACAAATATTTACTGAGAATCTACTCTGTACTAAGCACTATCCTAGGGATACAGTAGTGGAGAAAGCAAGAAATATTCTCACCTCAACAAAGCATGTATTCTATTCATCATCATCTAATGAAGAAATTTTAATAACTAAAGATGCTTCACCATCAATTTTTACTTCCATTTAAACATTGGACTGTGAGTACTACTTTAAGAATAGCAGAATGCAATTATATTTCCTAGTTTACATATCCTGATAATAGGGACATTTATGATCACCTGGGCTTTACAATGCCAAGGATTTTGAAAAGTATACACCCATGAGGATGATCAGCTCTTTTCAGTATTCTTGTCTCTGATAATAAATTGATGAAATAACTATTCATAGTCTGGAACTGCCTTGATATTTTCTGCAATTGCTTCCAGCCCCTTAGGTTCTCTCTGTCTGTGTATTATGGTGGCATTCATATGAGCAAATGCTCTCATTACTCTGGTTATTAACTTTTGGAGTCTTTTACAGAAATGACCCACTGGCTGCTGACTTTATGGTGTCCTCATTTGCTTTGTCTTTGAACTGATGCCTAAAGCCTGATGCTCAACTTTAGTTCTACCTCTAAAGAGAATGTTTACCTTCCATGGCACATCCTTACCTGGACCTATACTGAAAAAAAAAAAAAAAAGCCTGTTGGTGCTGGATTCTATACAATGCTTGAAATTGAGTTAATAAAGTGGCTCTACTTATTACAAGATAATTTGATGAGATGAGAAAGAGTGAGTATAATCTTTCAGCAAGTGATATAAGAATTCTTCTCGGATAGAGCACTGTATCTTTATGCGCAAAAGATGGATAAAAGGCTTGGGGTGAAAAATTAGGGTTGAGAGAGAAGACAGAAAACTCAAAGGTATGCTCAAGTCACCAAACTTGTACTCCTCCCCACCTTCTAACGAGGTGAGTTGTGTTATCTAGAAGGCCTTTCATTTTGCAGAACACTAAGAAGGGGTGAGTAGGAATGCAGGGGGATCACAGGGCTCTGAGTAAGCAAAGAATCAGGGTCCCCAAGAGAGAATAACAGAGCCAATGCTCTGTTATTGAGGAAGAGATAAATCTGAAAAGTTGGTTGTCTCCCATAGGGGCACAGTACGGACAAGACCCTTTGAGACACAGAGATATCTAACAGGCTATTTTGAATTCTTACTTAGAAGTTGGAAGTGTAATTGCTTCCTCCATCTGCCACATGGAATCAGCAAGGCTTGTGCAACTCTCTGATTTTAGACCATGTGGCACCCCTCTAGGATCTTGGAAGGCACAG